CAATTAGCATAGTGAGATCGTTACGTCTGAACATTGATGTCATCATTATCGCTATATGATTATTATCATCGCGCTATCTATTATCGTCATCCGCCGCGACGACGCGGTGACGAGGTAGTGCGGTTCTATATTCGATATTCTGTGTCGATACCTACACCTAACTGTATATTAACAACGATCATTGTGTAAGGAGTTGAAATTCCAGTATAATAAAATCGCTCTTCATACTTTCGTCCTCCTACTCTCGACGATACTCCTGATCACCGTGCGAGGGCGAATTATCTACAATTCTACGATACATCTCTGTAATATCTTTATATTCTTATTATAGGAATAAAAAGAAAGTCGATATCATTATTTTTCGATCACCGAATGCATTCTAATGTAGTCTAATTTTATTACTAAATTGAATATTTTAACTCTCGATCACTCTCTCGAAGAAAATTAGAACGTTCCATTTCTTATAAATAGGAATAAAGAAAAGCAGGTTTAAGATAATTTTTCTTAAGAAATTATATTTTCCTTTCTGCTTAAAGATGTTTTTCTCTATTCTTTTACAAAGGATACAAATCAGTCAAATCCATTAAACATAGGTATATTGAATTCTTCAATATATTGAATATATTGAATTCTCGCTAAATCGTTCTCGCGGTTCTTATTTAAATATTAAGAAGAAGTATTAAATATTAAGAATGAAACATAACATCTCTTGAAATATCGCGACATATGCAATTTCGTATGGGTATTTTCTACGAGAGATGAAGCCGGATTGGCCTATCGATCGACACTGACGACGAAAGCTGATCTATATTCGAATGTTCACTATAAATTTGTCGTAAACGAGCGATCGGGCCGTCACAGAAAACTGGAAAACTTCTCGCAAAGCTCTTGTGTAAGAGCATCATCCCCCGCTACCCTAGCATTTACAGTGACTCATGAAATATAATGTATTTGTTCCCCGGACGCATCTATTTATTTGTACATTATTTCACGGAATAAATATATACATGTTTTTTGCATCCTCAGCCCGCGTCACGTCCTTACCGCATACTTTCAGCTAGATAATAAGCAATTTTTCATTCAATCCGATTGTCTCTTTCAGAGGCGAGATTTGGAGAAAAAAGAAATTAGAGCCGTCAAGTATATAATATTTCCTTTTTATTGTCCTTTTATAACGTACAATCAACAACGGTATTTTTTCTTTCATTTTTTTTCTTTTTTCATGTAACCCGTGTGCCAGCAATCACTTCTCAAAAGGACACGTTAGACGTCTCGTGGGTTATTATATAAATAACGGTTTATACAGTGAGAATACAATTAGATAGCTGAGTATATAGTATTAACAAACCTTACTCTATAGAACGTCCGGCCGATATACCTCGACGAGACATAATAGATCAATAGTGTAATTGTTATATGCGAGAGAGGGAGGGAGGGGTAACAACGAAGGTTTCACAGGGTAATTTGTAACATTGTAAGTACAGAAATAGCAATTACGCGCTCGCGAGGAAAATAGATAAGATCGCCACGCGAATATACATATATATATATTTTTTTTACGTATCAACGTTAGGTACATTTTGTTTAATATTCCTCGTACACGTTATAAGTACGCATCACAGATATGTCGTTGTTCGTGGAACGAAAAGAAGCACGAATGGCGACAACAAAGATCGGCGAGAGCACGCGGTGTCCTGAAAATGATATGCAGCAGAATTGTATTTTCAAAAGATTCGATTTTTCTGTAAAAAAAAAAAAAACATGCTTTGAAACAGTCTGCTATAAAATAATTATCCGTTTTTAATAATTAAAGTAAACGAATTGAACGGTGATTAATCTGCTTTTTAAAGAACACACGAGAAATTTAATAGACTTCACTCCCAAAGAATCAATTCTTTTTTAAAAAACGTGCTTTGATACAATAATAAAAAAATTGAACGGTGATCAATCTGCTTTGTAAAGAACGCGAGACATTTAATAGCAAGACTTTATTTCCAAAGAATTTGATGCTTTCCTAAAGCATATTTTGAGACAGTCTTTTACTATAAATTCATAATTAACCGGCTCTGATAATTAAAGTAAAAGATTGACTAATGATCAACTTGTTTTCTAAAGGACATGATAAATTTATTTTTTCTTAATTAAAAGATTTATTTTTGTAAAAAAAAAAACTCTTGTTATTCCGAATTCTTCAATTCTAAGAATTCGTAGAGCAGAAACTTGAACGAGATCTACGTGAGAATAATAAGTGAGTAGTATCCTGCCGTTCGGTGTGCCTCAACTTTCGTGGAACATCTTGTATATTTTATTGCGGGCACGTAAAAATAATCCAAAGCATAACCGTTGACATCTCGGCGCGTGTTACAATTGTAAAACGAGTGTTCCCGACAGAACGGTCCGCGAGGGAAAAAAAAATACGGTAAGTGAAAATAAAAAATATTGCTGTTTTAACATCAATAACGTGCCGGAAAATATAAAATAAGGAAAACGGCACTATTTTGCAATAAATCGCTATTGATACTATGTATATCCGCAAGTCCGTGATGAATGTGAACGACGAAGGCAAATTGTACGCACCGGCCAGCAACAATCTTAATGAAGACGTATCGCACAACTATACAAGTTCGCTATCCACAATAATAGGATATTAATAATAATAACGAACACGACGTAACGTGGGCGCTCAGGACTGGGCAGTACTTCAAATTAATACGCAGTTTCGCGTTATAATTGACACGAAATTATGAGTGAAATGTAAAATATTCTTTATATTTTGTATTATGAATACAATCTTAATATTCTTCATATTCTTCGTTGTAAAAGGTTACGAAGCAATTAAAAATTCGTATCTTGATTTTGTACCTGAAAAACATCTTAATAGCATTTTGCCCAATCCTGTGGACAAAATTATTGCTGTCGTTAAAATTATCCTCGCGTACTGCCTCGCAAAAGAGTTCTCACTATATATTTTATAATTTATAATAATTTAATAATTTCTTTATTAAATCATCTCGTCTTGCATTTATAATATTCGTTTCGCGATTATATTTATGCCTTCTGCAATTTAAATAATGCATGAATGCACACGAATATCAAATTCATTCGAAAATATTTATTATAATTTTATGCTGTATATCATGAAAGTGCCACAAATATTTAATGGCTAGTCTTTTTTTTATATGAAAAGTTTAAAACCTTCGTCTTCCTTTTTTTATTTAAATTTTTGTTAAGCAAAATTGTAACATTGAACATTTGAAATCACTTGAATATTACATTTGCTGGTCAATCTTGATCAATACTTACAGAGAAGTGTCAGCGTGGCGACATATACGTAGATACGTTGCAATTGACAATTACATTACTCGATCGTGATAAATCGGTCACCCTCATTTTAGCTCGTTGCTACAGAGTATATTGGTCACAGCAGGTTTTCTTTCTTCTTAAACATCTGAGTTTCATTAATCCGGAACACATACGAGGAAAATATAATTTGTTAGACGACGATCTGTTGAAACGTTTTTTTTTTTTTTATTGTAGTTTCTAATCCAATTCTCATGCAATTTAGGGCATGACTACGAATGTGTTCTCAACATCCATCTGTCGCGCGTATATGTGTACATATGTAATGCATATTAGCCTCCGCCCACGTTACGGATAACAATCGAACGAAAAACGCGCTAGATTTGACTATATTTAAGTATATATATTTTTTATATATGGAATGTGCTTCTACCAAACCGCTAAGAGTGTGCTAATACATAGATTCTTCACGTCGCCGGGTGTGTATGTCACGTGCCGGCATACGCACGTAGCGCTCTAAATACAGGTTCTCTCGAAACTGCTCTCGACGCAACACGCAAATACCTCATAATAAACCGCGAAATAGGTCCGTTAGCGGATTTCGTCTCTAATTTCTCAATACAAATCCCTGAAGATTTACGAGAGAATCTCATCGTCGCTCGTAATAACGAGAAAAGGAAAAGAAAATTGTCTAAAAGTCGTGCGTTTAATCGGCGAATGCGCGAACGCGTGTACGTTTTTGCCAGCGAATCCTAAAATCAAATCACTACAGAACTACGCGAGACCGGTTGCACCATTTTGATCAACGCCTTTACAATTTCCTTGTTTCTTGTTTCATAGCAGCGATTATAATTCTGCACAGCTTGGATATGTCAAGTTATACTTTTTGCCGATCTCTCTGAACGAGAGAATTTAAGTTAACGATTCAATCGTGTAGAACTTAATATTGCAGATTAAAAGATATATCGTTTAATTATACGATCAAAGATCGCGCTGATCAAGAATGATGCAACCCGGCCTTGAAAGATATGTGGTCGAGTGGAAAAATGTGCATCGTTTTCGAGCGCAGTTCGTTAAGTTGCATTCTGCACATTTTGTACTTGGGTCACCGCGCGCGAAACGAGCGGTGAAGCTTTGGCGGTATTGATTAATTTTCACGGAGGTCTCAACGCATTCTCAACGTGGTGTGCGCAACGGCGGCGTGCTTTCTCGCGATGCGAGAAACTGTGTATAACTCTTAATTACAGTTACATTATTATCAATTATCTACAGAACGCAGGGGAGCTCTTGTCAGTGAAACAAGTTTAATTTGAATATTCAACAAAATTGACACACGCACAATAAAATGTAAAGCAAGATTGCGCAATTTAACTGTTACAAGTCAACTGTGCTCGGAAGTGTCCTCATCCAAAATAAAAAATGTCTTAAATATTCCGAATGGAAATCTAATATCTAACAGGGAAGATTTAATTAACGGAGAAACAGATTTGAACAATTCAAATATTATGCATAAAAATAAAACATTTGCGACAGTTACATTCTTCAAAGAGACGCCAAAAATATCCTATTGTGGTGCACGATATGTAAATTGTTCAAATCCATTCCTATATGCTCAAATTCTTCGTCTTTTCTTCTTCGTCCTCTCCTGTACGCCGTTCTCACGCGATTTTCTCTTCGCGAGCAAAAATAAACGGACGCAGCGGCTTGCGCGGCGTAAGTTAACCGATCCCGTAGCCGAGCCGATCGCACCCTGGGGAGATCTTCGTGGCCGCATCTTCGGGTTCGTTTGAGAATTATTTAATCGTAATTCTCCGACTCCTGTTGCACCAGTTTGAACCGGCGCGGACTCTTCACGTACATGGAACCGTGTTGTCCCTCCAGAGAGAGGCGGCCCTTGCGTTGAAGGTACGTAGTGATGTAGCGTGCGATCAGCTTCTGCGGTCGCATCTGCCATTCTTCCAACACCTCCTTGGGCGCCAGAACCTTTGCAAATCACGAAGATCAGTTAGACGCAAATCTCGATCGATTCAAAAGAGTCGAACGACCAATAATATTGACCAGTCACGTATTGAATTATTATATATACGAGGAGCGTTCAATTATAATGCAACACATTTTTTTTCTTATTTAAGATTTGTTTCATTGCAGTTTTAAATACATCGTATTTTCCCCCAATTTTTTGGCTACAGAAACCGATTTTTCTGGCCTTACGTTACTTAGAGAGCCTGTGACCACTTAGCTGGTCTGCCTTTCAGTCTACTCAGCAATTTTTTACTTTGGCTATGACCTTCTTGTCACTGCCATATCTCTTCCCGCGGATTGTATCTGTCAGAGGACCAAAGAGATGAAAGTGGATCAGAAGGTGCAAGATTCCTCATTCAGAGTGGTACCATAAGGCCATAAAATTGAATGGAGATTATCTTGAAAAATAGGTTTTTATATAGCCAAAGAATTGAGGAAAAAAATATGATGTAATTAAAACTGCAATTAAACAAACCTTGAATGAGAAAAACGTGTTGCATTACTTATTGAACGTCCCTCATACGTAACAGAATTAGCCTGAATAAGTCGGCAAGCTTTACGTAACTGCGAGCTGAAGCTTATGAGATCTTGCTCTTTCATAATTTCATGCATGACGCGCAATATATACCGGCGCATTTGCCTCGTCGCGAAATTATCACAGTTTCGCAAAGTGCATGTATAGATGAGAATACAGATGATACCCGGCGATAAGCCCCGCAACGTTCGTGTGACGCAGAAAGCTCGTGTGCGGCACATATTAGATGAGCGCACCGAGAGTTCGGTATCGAAAATACGTGAGTCACATATATATATATATACCTGGTCGCCTTTGAGTCGGTCCAACAGCGTCACACACACGACGGCGGATTGGATGCCGGCGTGGTGTGTCAGCGCGGCGAAGCAGAGGCTCTCCATCTCGATGTTCACCACGCCGGCCTTCTGCAGCTTGGTGAGGTACTCCATCTTGTCGGCCTCCGTGAACTCGCAGAACGCGCCGTCCAGGCGACCCTGGCCCTCGTAGAAGTCGTTTGAGCACATAGTCTTGCCGATCACGGTGTCGTAGGGATCGTCGCGGTGGGCCAGGGCCTTCAGGTCGCGGGCCAGCTGCCGGTCGAGCTTGGCCGGTCGACGTATCAATTTTCCGAGCACCATCTGCAACGCGTGACACTCTCGTTTAACATTCTTGACATTCTCATTTAAGTTTCTGTTGATGATTTATTTTTTCTATTCAAGCGTACAATATATACTTAACTTAAATGTAAGCATGCTATATATCTTTGAGAAAATGGAATAAAGGGGAAAAATAAATTCATCAATTTAATTATTTATCTTGGAAAATACACCGTTGTATATTCATGTATGAATAATTTTTATAAAAAATTACGAATTAGTCACTTTGACTACTTTGATATTTCTAATGTTAAAATTCTTTTATGATTCTTTTACGACTTACGTTATAAATCATAATTACAAAACAGTTTGCGCGCAGGCAAAATGTAATTAATTAGTTAGAAAAATATAGAAACATAGCAATATAAAGCTTTGCAAAACTTATATCGGGTACGGATTTCATAAAATCACTAACCAATTCCAGATAAGGTTTCATCGTCTCATCGAGGGCTTCCTCCGAGATGATTACCGTGCCACCTTCATGGCCGATACCACCGCAGGTGCCGATCCTGATGAAGATCGGATCCCTTATTTTCGCGTGGTACATCAGCTTGATAACTTCGTGGAGCAGAATGCTAACCGAAGGTATACCCATTCCGTGCTAAACAGATAAATATGGCATTTAAAGTGTGACATTTTCTTTTTAAATAGTCGTGTTGCCTTTTACTAATTTTTCTCTTTTATAGAATTCTCAGTAATATCTATACCGTAAATACAACTAAAATAAGAAGAAACCGTCTCTATTATTTCGGCATGTTTCGTACTAAAACTCCACGACGTCAGATACATTCGCTCGTAAAAACGCCAAGACGTTTCTGCTATAAATAATTGCTTCCAGCAATCAGCATGTCTAACGCAATTGCGTCCTGAACTCCACTCGGCTCGCTCGGCATACCGGGTGCGTAATTCGCGCGAAGCGAGACGATGAAAAACGGTTTGATCGTCCAGGCGTGTAAACCGCGTAAGTAAAGTGCCTATTATAACAACGGAGCAAGGCAGGTGCCGAGCGTGATTAGCGTGGAATGTTAGCGGGTTCTATTGCCTGCCAGGAACGGATTGTGTATCTCGCTACCGTCGGTATCGAATCTAGAGATACTAAAGATATTGGACACTGCGATATTTTTCTTTTTAAGGATGTATGGGTGACATCTCAAAGCCAAAAATCTAAAAATGTCATAGATTGTTCTATTATTACGTCTAAGCATCTGTGTAAAAATTCAGCACAATTCTCTTACTGGTTTAAAAGTTATTGTAATTAAGGATGTATTGGAGGAATTTCAAATATATTCAGAAAGTGCTGTAAATTGTTTCTAAATTAAATTAAAAATACTCTGTAAAATTTTGAAGTTATTTAAGTTTAAAGTTGATAAAATTAACATTATCCCTTATGGAGAATTGACATTTTTGCTGTAAATATAAATAAAATATAAATAAACCATTAAGAGATATTTCTTAAACTTTTTTTATGTGTAAAACATACATCATTGATATTGTATTTTAAGTTTCAAAATTTTTTGCCACAAAAAATTTTTTAATTCTTTAAACAATATTTATTATTTAAATAACAAAAAATTGTACTCAAACTGTTAACGGTAATCCCTTCTAACATATAAAAAATTTTGAGTTGTTTGACATACATGCAAAGTCTTCTTTTATTGAAAGTTCAACTTTTAGCAAGGGCTGTACGACCCATACATCCTTAAAGGTATATCATATTCTCTTGATAGCGATCACTTATTACTGCGATATACGCTCTGCCAAAACGGCATTTATTCTATTCGTCGAATTTTACATTATTATTTAAAATCAATTTTCAATTTTGACATAATAATTTTGACATTTTTACTTTAAACATTTTGTTAAGAAATCACACGAGCAATACTGTCAAAATTATTTTATTATTCTCCTATTTTTTTAAATTCATAAAAATATTAATTTTGTAATTAATAATAATCCAATATTTAAAAGTATCGATGCTATAAAAATTATTTACTAATTATATACTACGATTTCTATTTGAGGCGTGGACTCAAAAGAGACATCAAGCTGGTCGAATTATGCGAAATTAGTCACGGCTTGAATGAAAGGATAACAACTTTCAAGCATCGCGAACACGTTCGTCGGTCATTAACGCCGCGATTAAACAGGTACCTACCACTCAATTATGCAAAGGTAAATTTGCTCGAAACTTAGCCGCAAAGTTTCCAGTATATAATCCATTCCACATTCCAATCACTGCAGTAGCGCAGCACAAAGTGCTTTAAAGAACCAAACTATTTGGCCGTCTACATGACTTCGCTCTTTCCTCGATAATTAAACCGACAAATAAAATTATTGTCGAAGGGAAAGGAACGCGTTTCGCAGGAAACGTTCAATATGTGAAAAACTTACGCTGATAGAGAGGACCGGGCCGACTTTGAACATCGAATAGCGGTAGGAATTTTTAGTGATGTCGAGAAGAGTCGTTCCGGCTGGCAGCTTGTGACCTATCTCCTGCATAATGTAATTAGCGAAATGTTCCATCCTTTTCGGCGTTCCGCCCATGCAGACAAACTGGAACGAGAGAAGAGCGCAATTGTACTCAGAGATTTGATATGAAAAAAATGTGAAGACTCGTAATCCGATTGTTCAAATAATAATTGTTGAAGTAATAATTGGAATAATAAGTGGCTGAAATAATGTGACCGACAAAGAGGGAGCAAGGCGAGTTCATCGTTAGGGTGATGTGACCTGAATCTCGAGACGCCCTGATTCATCTTAAATGTCAAAGATCATCGGTTACGTTAGTAAAAATAAATAAGTGGCGGCCGATGGTGTAATCGCACGACATTGAAGTATATTTCGCGATTTATTGATGTTGCCGGACATCACGAGCACATCGCGTGACATCGCGACTAACTTCGTGTGGTCACGAGTGGTGTGTATTCCAGTTTCTGATCCAGATCGAGCGTCAAGTGCAAGGCGTAAGGATGCATTGACCAATCGATTATTGACAAACGTAATAAATACCCACCGAGATTTTTGTATGAACTCTTTATCGCGGGAAGTCAGAGGCCCAATATTAATAAGTGATGTAACATCTTATACGTCACATTGTTTCGTTGTTTATGTGCGATAAATTTAGCGTAACTGTATATGTCGAAAGGAAGACAGATTAGTTATTCTAATAGCCAAAATTACGCTTGATTGAAAAAGATCTTCGAAAAGTACAAATTAGAGAAAGAGAGAGAGAGATTTCTATTCAAAAATTTGTTTATTGTTTATTTATATATTATCTTTCTAATAATTAAAACAGAGAAACGTAAGAAAAAATACATGTGCAATATACTATATATAGATACTGCAGTAGGTATCTCTCACGTTGATAATTATTATTTATGTAATTATTACGTGACTTACTTACTTTTGATCAAAAAACTGCATTTAATATTTACTATCGCGTATTATATCATTGAAGTGAGATAACGAGAAAGCAGGAATAACGCCAGATGAAAATACGTAGTGTTACGGAGAGAAAAATAACGATAAACTGTGATAACGACATATGCGACGTAATACGCGACATATGCGATATATATGCTTCTGATAATCATTTGTCATACGAGTTCCATAATATTTAATATGAAAATGTATGAACGTTTAATTTAATAGAGCTACATTTGTCAAATTTATGCTAATGATAATAACATATTTGTTATATTAAAATATATTATCTATTACGACATGATTTTGTAATATATTGCAAATTACAGATACCTTGGTAGATAGTTATAACAATAATGTCACGTAAAATATTAATATAATTAAAAGCTATTAAATTAATATAGATAAAAGCTATTAAGTTAATATAGATAAAAGCTATTAAATTATTATAAAAGTGATTAAAGCAAGAATCTTTCCTAAATTAAACTTTAGGCGTGGAAATAGATCAATTTTGTGCATTTTTTACGGATTTTACTTTAATAGATTTTTAATACCGATCTTAGTTACCGAGACACATTGAATGTCGCTAATTTGTAAGTATCAAAAAAATTTTTAAAAACTGCAAAAACGATGGCGTTTAATTAAATTTCCGTTAAGCGGAAGTTGACACAAAATTAAAGAATAAGCCAATAAGGTTTTTTCGAGTATTATCGCTCAAGATTCTTTATGTAAACATACTTCATTCCTTTGTACAAATATAATAGAAATTTATTTGACTTACCTTGATGTCACCGAACATCTCAACCAGATCGTGGGAGCCGCTGCCGAGTGCGAGATGGTACAATATGTCCTGATCCATGAGTTCGATATTGGGGTTTCGTAATCGTACGGAGCCATCGCTGTACCTGTGATAGATGCAAAACGTTTGACTTACATTTTATTGCAGAGCATTTTAAATCCTATTATACGTTTTATCAAAGAACTTGTGCATAGTTATTAATACAATAAAACATTTAATACAATAAAGAAATAAAAAATAACTTCACCGCGAGATGAATTAGGTTGATTCACACTATACGGCACGGACCGTCACGTTCCGGCAACAACACGTACCGGCACCGGCACGACAAATTTTACGTATATTCAGATTGCTTCGGCAATCAACCGTCAGTTTTGTAACACCACAAAATGGATGGATCATCTAGCGATGATGAATTGGCTGCTATATGGCCTTACTTTTAGACGAAGATGAAGGCAAAGTGAAAAAAATGAAGAAAAAGAATAAAAAATGGGTACATCCTATATTAAAACAAAGAAAACTTGAAGGGGAGCATTGGACATTATTTCAAAATTTATTAAAATGTGAAGACAAATTTTATCAATATTTTAGAATGCCGCAATGTAAGTTTTTTGAATTATTAAAATTAATTGAGCCTATGTTACAAAAAGAAAATACGTCGTTTCGTGAGGCAATTTCACCGACAGAAAGTCGCAGAAAGTTGCAGTTTGTTTAAGGTAAACATTTTTTATTAAATTTACATTGTCTATGTATAATCTGTTTGATATTGATGATAAAGGACGTGATACATACGGCCTAATGTGATATAATTCGGCAGAATGTTGACGTTGTATAGGTGCATTAGAAGGTTGCTCTTGCAAAATTTGTTTTATTTCAAGAACAGCGATAATGGAGAATATTTGTGATTTCGCTATATTTTGATAGTAAGGAGAAAAACTGTTTACCGTTGCTGCAATACTTGAAAAAAACGTGTCTATTGCATTAGATTGTTGAGTCGGTGGAGTTATTTGCGCTTTTGCAGTTTTTTTCTCCAACAAATATTTTATCATCACTGCTGATGCCGTTTCTGGTTGTGTTTGACATTTATTTTCTTTATTCTTAGCTTTAGTGATAATTTTTCTGTTAATTTCTTTTTGTTTTCTCTTTTTCTCATTTTCAGCGTGTAACTCCTCATCCACATTATCATCCTTGTCATCGTCTTTATCGTCGTTTTGATCATCTCTTCTATCCTCTCTCTCATTGTTTGTATCATCATATTCGTCTTCATTCGGTTCATCTTCATTATCATCATCACTGACATCTTCTAAATTACTGCATGTGTCTCTTTCTTGCATGAATGGTAGTAAGAACGACATTTCATCTTCAAATTTCCATTTTTTTATTTTTGAAGCGGCCTGTCCACTTTTTGTTTCACGTTTTTTTTTAACGCTTTTTTAAAAGAATCTCGAAGATTTGTCCATGTTTTTTTGCAAGCAGTCGCTGGAAAAAAACGAACAATTTGTTTATATTAATATTTATTGTATATTTTATAATTTTTTATTTATTATCTTATATTTCGTAGGTTCCTAGCTACTGGTGATTCGTATAGAACAATATAGCTATCAGTTATAGACTCGGACATTCAACGGTGCAATCGATTGTTATTCAAGTATGCGAAGTGATAATAGAGAATTTGATGCCACTAACAATGCCAAAGCTTACAGTGGATAAATGAAAAAAAATTGCTGAAAAATTTTGAGATATTTGGAATTTTCCAAATTGTTTAGGCGCTCTTGATGGGAAACACATGTGACCACTCAAGCTCCCGTAAATAGTGGATCTCAGTTTTTTAATTATAAGAAAACGTTTTCCATTGTTCTCTTAGCATTAGTCGATGCACATTACAAGTTAAGTAAGAATAGCGATGGAGGCCTATTTGCCAATTCTAAATTGGGCAAAGCTCTCGAAAAAAATGAATTAAATATCCCGAAAGATAATGCGCTTCCTAATACGCAGAATGTTATGCCTTATGTCATAGTTGGCGATGAGGCATTTCCGTTAAAAAAATATTTATTAAGACCATATCTTGGTTCTCAAATTCAAGGAGATAGATCAAAAAGAATTTTTAACTACCGTCTCTCACGCGCACGAAGAGTGTCGGAAAATGTATTTGAAACATTGAGTAAAAATATTCAGCTTTACAATCGAAGACTGAAGTTAAAACCAGAAAATGCAGATAAAATCATTTTGACTACGTGCATTTTGCACAATTATATCCGAGACTATATTATTGCCATACAACAAGACCATACGCATAGAACTGACACTGGTTTACAAAATTTACCACGACAAGGAGGAAGTGCAGCAAATACTGCATTAACTGTTCGAGATGCATTCAAGGAATTTTTTTATGACAAAACATGGCCGTGTTGAATGGCAAGACACAATAAATTAAAAAATATTTTATAAAAACTATTTTATTAGTACAATAAATTAGTATAATAAATTATATTCATCTTACCTGCCTGGTTCATTTCTTTCACAATTCTTCTCCAAGCATTTTCTTTAAATACATTATCACTATATTTTGAATGGCTCATTACATATAATGGCTCACAAGATTTAACCATTTCAATTAATTTTTCCTGGTCCATCTTGTTAATTGCGTCCGTTCTTCACCGTTATTCAGTTCAGACTGTTCGTCTCGCCACTGACAAGTCCCGACACGTTCTGACACGGACCATCAAAACATTCTTTGCGATAATGTCGGTCAATGTCGGTACGTTCCGTTGACGGAACATGCAGGTCGGTGCCGGTTAGTGTGGACAGTCTCGTTAAAACGCATTGTTTAATGTTTTGTCGTGCCGGTGCCGGTACGTGTCGTTGCCGGAACGTGACGGTCCGTGCCGTATAGTGTGAATCAACTTGATCATGATGTATAGCAACTGCATCAAAATATTTGATTAACATTTCCGTAATATATACGCGCTGCGAATACGACGCATTACCTACATTTACGAAATGACAATTATCCGAGTTTATACAAGCATAATTAGTGCTCAGAATGTTTGAACAATACTGTATAAATCATCATCGTATTTCTGTATAAACATTTAGTGCTTATTGTTAGTATGCAAGCAAGAAAATTTACATTTAGGACACATAACGTTTTAGATTAATCAAAAAATTGGCGTAAACGAGAAATATAACGTATTTGTGTAATATATAGTTCTCCTTTTTTTCATAATATTGTTGAAGATAACGAATAAACTACCGAAAACGGGCCCTTTTCCGAAAAACTCTGCGTTTGCGTAACAACTCTGGATTATCGCGAGGCACGAGCGAGATCCGATTACTTAAATTGCGGTGATGGCCTTTGACATCGCGACGTCACGAATTTGATTCTATCGGCGATCGAAGGGACGAGCAATTGCATCAGCGTCGAAAATTGACTTCGTTAATGTACTCAGCCTAATCAGCGTCACCGCCCGCCGACGGATTTGCGCATCGTAATTAATTCATCTCCGCGCGTTCTACGGCCGAATAATTGTATTTCGCTTCTGACGTCTCGGAGATCAAAATGTTTGCAACGTAATCGTGATATATAGAAAAGAAATCCCTCGCGACGTTCGCAACAGTTCGATATTTATGGGAAAAGATTCAATGAAATGTGACTCAACGCCACTTTGACACGCAAATCTAGGAATAAAAATATGAGGGTTGTGGAATTTAAAAAGAGAGAGAGAGATGTCAGAAGCAATATCTACAAAGATGTCACATTTCAAATCCAGAAATGGGTCAAAATAAAGCTGAGCGGAACAGCAAAGTTGTGGCTGTTTGCTCATTTTAAGGTTCGCTGGATTGTTTGTCTTTCCGACTACCTCGAAAAGTTTTTTGTGGAAGAAAATACTCGTTGCGCGCGTCGATAGTTTCAGGTTCAGGTTCATCCATTGTTCCTGGACGCCGTAATGTAAATGTATACAGCACACCCTTGTTAATCCTTGACAGACCGTTGTCGATATCAGTTTCGATTTACGAACGCGAAATCGCGGCGCGTCTATTAATCCGTTTAGTTGCGATGAACGCTAACGGACAATACTCACAAGTCATATTTATTACACTTTGACATCTATTGCACGTATCTATGTCCGGAGAAACCGTAAAGGAAAACGCCACAATGGAGTTTTCCTCAGAGATTATTCTTTAAATTGGTTTCGATCATACGCCAACTTTTATCACACGGTTACACAAGGCATTTAAATGAGAGCGAATCTTTCTTGTTCATGGATGAACAAAGAAATGTGTCTCGAGGAAGATTCATTTTATTGAGATAAGTTTAATATTCGATGAGGGACAAACATAAACATAGGAAACTTTGTGTTACAGTGCTTAGTCTTCTCGTCAGTACATTCATCTCGTTGTCTGTGTGACGTGTAACACTGTACACGCTGTAACGGTCTCCTGAGAAATTTTGCATGCATAATCAGCGAAGATGCTCGTCAATTTGCATCTAAATGTCTCACTATGTATGTAAAATATTCAGGGGTTACCATTTGCGTTCCTTCAGATATAAATGATATAAATTGATAAATATGAAATAATTATTAAGTAAATTTTTATAGCTCTAATGGAGATTTAAAAAGTTCTCTCGGCCACGTTTTAATATATATTCTCAACGATGTGGCAGTTACCTAATTCTACTAATCCAGCTTCGGATTACGTTTCTGACGACGTAAAGTTCAGCTGAAATTAACTGAGAAATAAGTTTCGATATCTAGATCGAGTTACTTAACAAAGTAAATAAAAGACTCTTAAAACTGATTAAACTTTAAATATTGCAGGTGCATCAAAGCTTCCTTTTCCAATTAATCTTAGATTATGGAATTCAATTAAAAACTTCAAGATACCAAGGTTTGTTTTAATGTCGATAATTAGAATATTATAATGACGAATAAATATGCTTTCTTCCATATCTTCAAATATAAATAATCCGAAATTTCTTCGAATCGTCTTCCCTTTCCGTTATTAGATAAAAAACAGAGAAGAGAAACCCAGTGTAATCTAATATCTGACCGGTCGCATCTTTTTATTTCTTAGACACAGCTGCGACTGGTTCTTTTCTCCACCTTATTGTATTAGCAGATCAAAAGATTTCTTCGAATTCTTTATTTCCTTTATCGATTATCGAAGAAGGGAAATCCAGATAAGCTCCGAAATCCGTCATTCTTTCATTGATAGCTCCAACCGCCGATTGCCTATCTCATTGTCAACTTGATATATTTAAATCCTTGAAAAAATTCTCGTCGTTTTCTGTCATTCAAATAGAAGCAAGAAATTTCTTCGAATCGTCTTCCCTCTATCCGTTATTGAATAAAAAGCGGAGAAGAAAACCAGTTATATAATCTGATATCTGGTCAGTCGAGTCTTTTTAATCGCGGTTACGACTGCAATGGTTCTCCATTTTGTTATGTATATTCAGCAGATGAAGAGATTTCTTCAAATCCTCCATCTTCTTTATTACAATTATCGAGCGAAAATCGAAGAAGATGAACTTACGCAAGTTTCTAATTTGTCTTTTTTTTTATTAATCACAGTTTTAATTATCCGTTGCCTACACTGAAAAAAAAGTAATTAGATCTAAGAAAATATTTTTTCACATAACACCAATATTTACTTAATATAATCACATATTTATTTAGAATTAGATATCTTTACTTAATTTAAGTGTATTATTATCAATTTGATATATATCTTAAAAGAAAATTCTTGACGTTTTCTGCCATCCTGAGATATCTTCGTTCGAGGAACTACCCAAGGTCTCCCGTTTTGCGTTATCTATCTTTTGTACTTCGCGACAGGCTTTCCATTATTCTCTTCACGCGAGCTCGACAGAAACTATCCTCTCACGCTCGAATAATATAGGGAATGTGAAGGTACACAGTCTGTTGTCTATGTCGCGAAGTTGCGTTCGCCATATTTCCGTCATTACCATCAAGCAGGACACAGCCGTGCATCTTCGTTTCAGAATAGCATTATCGTTCAATGTTCTCTTCTTCGCGCATTTCGCAATAACTTCTCATATTGCATATATTAAAGAAGAAAATAGCTGGGTTTTCTCATCTTATGTAGCATATATGATAAATGTTATGAAAACGAATGCGTCTTTTTAGCTTATTAAGTAATTTTTATACGCGCTTATTTTGTTTTTCAAATATTTTTTTGGTTTCTTTTTACTCTTTTCAGAAAATGTTGAGTAAACTATATGCATACTGTTCTCAAATAAATTATGAATCAATGAAAAATATGCAATATGTAATTAATAACAATGACTTTTAATTGGGGTGTAATAAGGTCATCCCAGGTGACTATTTATATAAAAAAAATTAGGCGGTCGTTTTCTGCTTTTTTCTTGCGATGCATTGAATATGAAAATTAATGAATAATGTAACTGTAAATAAACTATTGCTATCGAAGTAATAATCTCATTAACGCATGTAATACACTATTTGCATACGTATAATAGTAATAAATAAATTAAATAATAATTTATTTGTAACGTAAAATATTACGTAAAATATTAATGTTGTTACGATCTATTACGTATTAATATTGAGATGTTCTATTAAAGGATTAATCTGTCATAGACTCTATCCATCATAGGATTAATATGGCACATAAATGATACATAAATGGTACATACATGATACCAGAGAGATGAATGTAGTTAAATGGTACAAGAGAGATTATAACATTTTCAACAAATAATATATATGTACAAAAGATATACATATAGAAATGTACATACATACATGTTAGAGAAATACATTAGCGTTCGCGCGTATAATCCTTTATCGCCAAAACGTGGTGAATTAATGCCTGTCAATATGAAATTCAAAAGCGCAAATATTCCATTTTCTCATGTAAAAAATTTCACATTTGCAATAATAATAAAATCTACAAAAGCTGTGAGAGAGACTTGTTTGAACACAATTTCCAATTTATTTTACGTCACTTTCAAAATATAAGCGGAATTTGTGTTTTGCTCGACATTTACAGTCTATCTTTTTTTCTTAAATAAAATATAGAATTATGACTGAAATGAATGGTGAACTTAGTGGCAAACGAAAAATAAGGTTCACGTATTTTTTCGTCAAGTTACGAGTCGCTTTATGGCATTCTCCAGGAATTCCATATTATATTAGAAGGAAAATCGATTCTTGCGGTCAGTTGAGTTTGTTTGTTGAGATCCGGCCGCCTGTAGGAAGAAAGCACCTCTAACCGAACTGCCGTACTACCTGATCTTCCTGTCGTGTATTCCTGTCTGCCAACTTCACGCAGAGAAAACACAATGATCCAACTCCGTATCGTAAAATGGAGTTTGACTTAATGGAATGAAATGGAAAAAGCGACCTTTCAAACATCAATCTCTCTATTTTCCTATTTTGCGTGATGTATTTTCTATAGATTTTGTATTTCGACAACAAAAAGTAAAATTGCGATACGTCAATAAACGTTCTCGTTTTTATAGATTTTAATTACTCAGTGAAATGACGTAAAGATGAAAGCAACAATCGCACGCACATCTATTGTATAATTTTCAAATTTAATCTTCCGACAATAACGCTACACTATAAAAAAATGTTATAGCACTTTTTAAATTAATTTTTATGTAAAGAATTATTCGCTCTTTTTTCAGATACGTCTTGTATAAAATTTTAGAGTATTTTAGACAATCTGCAATTAAATAATATTATGCAAAAAGAAATTAATCCATCAACTCGAAAAAAATAAATTACATATGTAGTCGGGTTAGTGTAAAATTCTGTATTTTAAATTAAATTTATTCCAAATTAGTATTCGGTGATGTAACTTATTTTTTACTCATTCCAGTTCGCAAAAAATCGGAAAATAGGACGCGAAATAGATCTGCGGCTTCTCTGTCTACCTGATCCTAAACCGATACTCGAAACGAGCCGGATAGGCTCCAGTTTTCATTATCTAATAAAAAAAAAGCGCCCTACCTAACCGGATTGGGCGACTCTTTGGGCTCCTTGACCTTGTCCTTCTCCACCGGTGGCTTCAGCGAGCAAACATGTTCCTCCGACTCGTCCAGAGTCCCGTTCTGGCAGTCACACGTCGGCATCCCGATTCTTTTTCGAAGCACAGGTTTCACCACCTCGAAAATCGGCGAATCGCCACGCGGTTTCCGGTCTTGCAGGGTCTCGCGAAACTGATCGGTCTCGATCTTCGCCCGCGACGTACGCGTCGGAGAATTTAGAGGATCGCTTCGCGGTTCGTTGACGTAGACGGTATAAGATAGCACGACGTAAGTCGCACGTTTCGTGACCGAAACGATGCCGGTCGGCGACGTTCGAGAATAGTTGGCGGCGGTTGCGACGAGGATCTTTATACGTCGCGTGGCTCTGGCAGGCACTGTGCCTCGTTCCCACCACATCGCTGCTAGTCGCAGCTGCCAATCGCCGGACACGTTTTCCTCGGACGCTGACACATGCGTAACCGGTCGCAATAACTGGCCGGTGCAAGTGCAAATCGTGGACCTTTGATTGCAAACGTGCGACTCACGCCGCGCCGTTACCGGTAACAGCGAATACGATGGCATATATGGGGTGTCTGGCGGATCGGGGTGGCTATGATTTACAGGCAGTTTCAAAGACCAAATCGAGGGGACAAGGACGGTTTGCGCGTGGAATTTTTTTCTGCTTTCGAATCTTATCCCAAACGAGCGAATCTGTGGTAAAGGTGAAACATTCTTATCACGCATGATGATAAGAATGTACGCAGAACTTTGTTTCTCGTGCTTCTATCACTGCGAATGTCGAAGTTTCGATTGGACGATATAAAGTATTTTTTGCGCAATACAAAGATACAGCTACATTTTATTTACACTTCAAATTAGATTAGACTTAATTTAAGGCAATATTTTGTCTAGCCATTTCTTCATTTCATGATTGACAATAACTAGTTTTTAATAGTTCGTCTCATTAGCTCTTCACATGAATTTATTAGTTTCTTCCAGCCAATAATAAAACAATACTTTAATATTAACAAACATCAGGTCGAGATTGACATATGTTTATTTCTACCTAGATTAACTTTAATCTCGGTTTAACTTACTTTTTATCTTTTTATCTTTTTTTTTTTATTTTATTTTTTCTAAGAATTAGAATAAGATAAAAATAAATTAAATTGAGATTAAAGTTAATCTGCAGTGATAGAAATGGACAATAGATATTCGATTTGTTGTAACTCGGAGTAATGGGTGGAAAAGTTGTGCCGTCATAATTTCCTCGAGATCTAAATTTATCCCTTCTGCAGAGTGCGCGCGCGTTACCTAAAAATTACTTTATATATTTATATTATATAAACTTCTTGCAAAATAAATTCTCGAAATAACTAAAGCTCAAGATGTTTTGATGTAAATTAATAATCCGTGTCTCCTCACTGAAAAATGGCACGTAAATCAAAACCTCGAGGAGAACAACCTTGAACTCTACACCCTATATAAGCGCCCGTCATTTTAAGTCGATCTCGGGTGGAATTGCGTTCATCGGATTTTTCGCGTTTCACGAGCCACAGAACCGCAAATAACAGGAATGAAATTCACCGTTTCCCTTTCCAGCCAGAAACCGAGAAATTGGAGTTATTCTCGCGCGACTACGAGGGTCGTCGGAGACGTTACGTAACTAAACTCCCCGAGCCACGGATTGCACACATTGCACCTGCCCGCTCCGCAGGAAACATAGTTCGAGGTTCTTTCTTTTATTTCCGTTTGTATGACCCTTTCCTTCGTGGCACGTGGGGGGGCGTGTTTCTCCGCGGGGAATCTCTCACGATGGGTGAGAGTTCTATCCGCAGGGCTTCCCCGAGCAATTCGTTTGTAAATTGTTCCGAAGCTTCCCGCGGGATACCGATAAATAAGTGTCATCTCGACGGGCCGGCTGCACGCTTTCTTAATAAACGCTCTGGCGAACCACTTTAATTTCCACTATACGTTTCGAACCGATAGAGCGCGAAATTTTATATTGCCGAGATAAAATACGCTTCTACTATACTAACAATGAAAAAACTGTTTTTTTTTTTCACTTCGTTAGAGAAACTACCATACTTTTTCTAAATACTAAAATTAAACTGGAATATTATATTAATTTTTGATGATAGATTCTTCGCTAAATTTCGACTTTCTCTTAATATAAAATCAGTGTCCCACCACTCCCACGATGTATCCGAGAGATAGATCTCTCTTGGTTATTTAATTATATTCCCAATAACGGACCACTTTTATTTCTGGCTTTTATTATGTCTGATGTATCGAGTCACAGGACACTTCTTCGTTCTTCATATTCTTGGCATTGATGGTAATAGAATTAACAATGACCTCATGTCGCGATGACGTTCAGACATCTATATCTTCCGTATTTCTTAAGCTTGGTCGCTGTTCATTTTGTCGATCACTATATACCGAAGAAAAACATTGTCATATATTCACAAGTCACAAGTCACTATTCATATTTTATAAGCGAGTCTCTCACTCTAACGAGATGGTCCGGAGCAACAGACAGGAGTGTCGGTCGCCCGACAATCTTTGCACTGCGAGACGGTCGTAGATCGTCGCTACTTTTAGACCGACGATGCCGACCAATGCTTTGCTTGTTGCGTCAAATGCATTTGAATCGTCTTTTGGCAAACGGAAATAGGTGCGCGAACTTAGAAGTATGTATGGTTTAATGAAATATCAATAGCGTATAATGTTGACGATTAACGATTTATAATTAACAATTGAAAAGAAAGGAATTTCTCGAGCGAGCTAAGTCTCCAGAAAAAATATAAATATAACAAAATCAGAATTTTTAACTCATGATTTCAAATTGATATTTTATTTTATTATATAAACATAAGTTTTGTATATATCTTAATAAATAATGATTTCGTTTAATTCTAAATTACTTTAATACAATCTTTCAATCCTGTTTTATATTAAATATATTAAATGCAATAGAAAATATCTTTCATCTTATTATTAAAAATAATCAACTAATAATAAAAATGCATTTGTATAGTGAAATTTACATAGATTTAATGCTTAACTATATCGCTTCTGATTCTTCTGAGAGATCTGTCACACGATATTATACAGAACGCCATTTATTGCACTTTTGATAAAATAGTATACGCCTAATAGATATCCATCTTATGCAATTATTGATTATTTATATAACCAAATATTTTTTTATAGCAGATCATTTATAGGTTCGAATCAATTATAGATTATAATCAGTAGTAATCATTCATCAAGATTAATCCAAGAAATATAGTTAGGTTTAATCATTTTATTAAGAAACGCTGATAATTTCGAAATATTGGAATGTATCGTCAATATTTTAATTTATATAAAAGTTCGGAACCACTCAAATTATTAATAATTATATGTCATTAGCATTTGTTTCTTAAATTCTATGGCTTGTCGAAAAAAAAAACATTTATTCCGCTCCGCCAAATTAATTAATTCAATCAACACGTCCAATAACTTCTAATTTAATTACAAACGCGTGTAAACTTCTTCCCGCTGTGTTGACTGTCCGCCCGCTCCTGTTCTACTTATTTCAAGCTTGCAGTTCTTCCTCGCGATAGAAGGCGGCGCCTCGTACAAGCCAACGATCACATCCCTTGTCGCTCTCTTGCCCAACCTATCAATTTCGCTTCCTATCGCACGCGTGACGCACAATCGCGGACGCTTTTACGGCCTCCATCGATTTTGGATTTAATCGATGGCGTATGAATTGAATAAGCCGTATCGTTCCGCGCCAGGCAATGGCACCTCGGGACTGATAGGAGCTGTCGATATCTCGCCGCGTCAAACTTATTTATTACGTGTATTTATTATGTGTATGCGATCCGCGTTATCAGTCATGTGCGCACGCGAACGCAGCCTCGCATTCGTAAATTCCGGGGCCTAATCGACAATTGGGATTGCATAATGGGTGTCGAACACGAAACGTATAGTGCAATGTGCAAGAACGTGTGTGATCCGCATTATGAATGTCAATATAGCATAATGAGACGTGTCATTAGCTCCTAAACCACTAATGACTAACTGAACAATCATTTACTCACACGGTATCAGGATGCGAAGTACCATCAGCGTGGCAAACGCATACACACCCCACACGTTGAACTTATTGAATAACAATTACGGTAAGAGGTTTAAGGTATAATTTTTCAATTCTCGATTTTTCAATTCTATATTATCAAAATAAAATTATATTGCGCTTAAAATATTAAATATTACTGTCGTAATCATCAAATTATTAAAAATTAATTTAATATGTACATAATAATAATAATTTTAATGTATCTCTTAAAATGCGGTTATTTTTATTAAATATAATAAGATTATGAATTTAATATAAAAATAAATTCTATTTTAAACCCTAAACACAATTTTATTTCCAGAATAAAATACTTATCACCTTAGCTTTTTCGTAATTTTTCTTAAATTTAATATAGTGCCGGGATATATAATTTATATCATGGAAATTATGGAGCTGTAGAATGCAAATAATTTTTTAATATATACAAATAATGAATTTAACCCACATATACTACTATTAATACATATTAATATCTTTATACATATTAATATATCTTTATACCACTTCCATGTAACATTATATTATAATTACATTATTATATTCTGTATTTATTATAATTTATTATCTATTTATGTTTATTATAATCTAAATTTATATAAAAAGCAGCTTTCTCGAGTTTCACTCGCAGTTGAAACAAAAAGATAGAAATGCACATATCAGAGAAGAGATGAGTATACATGAATAGTGTGAGAGTATCCATGAACTGAGTCACCTAACAAGCGAAAATGTGTTTGACTGTTGTACATAGAACATTCGAGCACTCAAATTCTATCGCTTTTAGGTGATCAATGTGTTGGCATTATGCAGGGAACGCGTTATCACGTTGCTCCTGACCTCTGACCTCATTTTCGTACACGAGCTTAAAGTGGCACGGTCATATGCGTTAAAATATAAGATCGCGTATATTTCCTCGAATTAGAAGATATGCAAAATTTCTTGTAATTCCTCGCGGAATGACAGAAAACGCTTTCCCTTCTTTCTCTGCTAACAAGACGAAATCGACAAGGAATCAAAAACGTAGATACTAAAATTCAGTTCAAAATCTAATCAATACTAGAATTATATTTTTTAAATTCCTGCTCGCAAAAATGCAATTAAATGAAAAATGTAAATTAAAACCATCGGGCACGTACTATCTTTGCATTGTAACTTTTTAACGAGCAGCTCTTTAATCATGCAAATAAAAAACAATGTTATAATTTGAGAAAACGTGCATATAAACGATATTACGTTCAAATTCGAACAATAGACTCGCACTTGCTAAAGCCCGTATCAGACTATGTATTGGGATTGAGATTGGATTGAAATTTAATCAATCAGAATAAAGAAAACTGATCTCAAATTTAGTGAATTTCGCTCTGATCGGTCAAATTTCAATCCAATCTCAATTTCAATCCGTAGTCTGATACGGGCTTAACGGATTCATTTTGTATCCCAATATAATATATGATATGCGTTTCCTCTGCATGTCAGTGAAACCAGTTAAAATCTCGCCGGTCTCAATCGGAAAATGTATACGTGTCGATACGTGTCTCCGATCTCTCCGATCTCTCCGATCTCAATCTCAATCGAGTCCATTCTTGTGCTCTACGTAGTGATTCTTACATTTCGATAGAGCACGAAAAAACTTGGGAAGTAAAATAATATGCGCGAGAAAGATTTACTTGCTATTTTATATCAAGGCCATTCTAAATTTGTCCCCGCGCTTGGAAATTACATGATGCATCAAACGAATATCGTTCCTACGTAAATATATGTTTGATTACATAATTAATGTCCGATGAACGAGCTCCTGCTGGCGGTACTGTTGAAAAGCTTCAGAAATTATTGATCCTGTTAACGGCGTAATTAAAGTTCGCCAGTATGAACAGGCTTATTTTACATTACGTAATCTAACACGAACGGCGAGATTAATAATTAACAATTTATCGATTGCCCGAATAACGCAGATTGCGAGTG